GTGTATTTGTCACTGCACGGCTGCTCTCATTCCTTTCCCTCTGGCTCCTTGATGTAGCCCTTGGCTTGTGTCGGCCTGGTCTATCAGCTGTTGTCTTGAAGCACCTTGACCTACATCTCTCATTAGTGGGAATTCTGCCTCCTCTGCTGCCACAACCAGCGGGAAGACTATCTAGTAAATCTTATAGAAAGGTTTCCGAGAACTCTGTGGCTCCTGATTTTATCTCAAAGCTCAACTTACCCTTACAGTCGGTGAGAGCTTCTGCTGGACTATTACATAGATCTTAGATGTCCCGACAGTGTAGTATTTCGTGTTTGTATCTTGAAGATGATGACGATGATGATGATTTGGGGTGGGATATTGCTGTGTTTTCACGGCCACAGACTCTTGGTCCTCCTGCCCCCAGCATCTGGAGTAGGTGGGATCACGGGCACATGGTGCTGTGCCTGGCTGATTTTTTTTTTTTTCCTTTTTTTTTTTTTTGGTACCAGGGATCAAACTCGGGACCTTGTGCTTGTGAAGCAGGTGACAGAACCACTGAGCTAAATCCCCGTTCCCCCTTTGGTTTGTTTTTTGAGACAAGGTTTTGCTTTGTAATCCAGACTGGCCTTGAACTCATTATGTAGCCCAAGCTGGCCTCAAATTCCCAGTGATCCTCCTGCCTCAGCCTCCTGAGTGCTGAGAGGATAGGTGTGTGCCACCATGGTCGGTGACTTGTTTTTTTATTTACAGGAGCACATTTATAGCCTGCACATGGGACTGCATATGTAATTTAGAATTAATAATGGCCAGCCTGGGCTACACGAATCATGGGATAGGTTGGGGGGAGTCTTGGAATCAGTCTCTTGAATACAAGGGACAACACAGCCCTGGACTACACAGTGAGTTCAAGGCCAACCTGGACTACATAGCACATGCCATGTTGCAGGGAAGCACAGAATGGCATGGAACACATAAGATGGTCACTCACCTTAGTCCAGAGAAAAAGAACAAGACTCGCATCCTCTAAATCTTTGCTCAGCACAGAAAAAAAGAAAAAGAAGCAAATCTTTGCTCAGGGTTGGGGATGTGGGGTCACTGGCAGAGCGCTCGCCTAGCAAGAGGCCCTCAGTTTGATCCCACTGCCAAGAAAAGAAAAATCTCTGCTCAAATGTCATCTTATCAGGAAGATTTTCCTTGACTCTCCTACATTAAATAGCAAGGATTCATGCCACATCCCTCTCCAGATTCCCTACTCGCCTCCGCTGGTTTTGTTTTTCCGAGCATGTATCAACTGATACGTTGCTTCTTAGCTTACTTATTGCTTCTGTCTCCCTCCCGGAAGATAATCAACACAGAAGCAGTTTGTTGTTTTATTCACGGCTCAGCATATAGAAGGAGCTCGATAAAATATGCATTGAATGAAAAACAGGAAGTCTCTTCTATGTCAACGGAAGGGGTTTTCCCTCACCATGCAAGTCTATTCCTCGCGTGTGAAGCCCCTTCTGTCTCCTTTATATTATTTATGTATCATTTGCCGATGTGCTGGACATTGAACTCAGGGCCGCGCGCGCTCGGTGTGCAAGTGCTGTACACGAGCTACACCCCAGTCCTGCGTCTTCTCGCTGAATCTTTCTGTCTCCAGCCTCCTTCCCTCGTTCCTGGCTCCGTATCAGCCGCCTCTAATCCATTCTCCTCGCTAGATTGATCTCGCCCGGTGAAGAAAACTAAGAGCGGACAGAGACGGGGGAGACGCTTCCGACACAGAACGCGTTAAGTAGAAGAGCAGCGGGAGCTTTGTCTCTGTTGCTAAAAGCTCTGGGACTTGCACACAAGCAGCCTGCGTGCCAAACTGCAAATCACACCGTTCTGTCTAGGGACCTACAGAGCGCCGGGCTGGCAACCTGCGCGCAGGAAGAGCATTTACTGTGTGTATCAGTGCTGTTCTGACTGTTTTACACGTACGAATTACCCTAACATTCAAGTAGAAGAGGTTCTCCTCTCCACTGTTAGAAGGCACGAGGCAGGCTGTAAGGTCAGGCAAAGCGGCAAAATTAGGATTCAAACCTAACTAGCTCCACAGTCCTGGCTTTTCCCCCTGTTACTACCTTAGTGACAAGCATTGTTAGGAAGCGTGCCCAGGCTGACTGGGGAGACAGAGAAGGCTCATTCAGCACGGGAGAACTGAGCCAGATAGGAGCTCAGAGCAGATGGAGCAGGACATGGTTTTAAAGGTTGATAGCTGGCAACCTGCTTCCTCCCCCAGGTTCAGAGTCTGTGGAATATAATGCAAGAGTCACATGGAAGGAGACCAAAATGTGACCTTTAGATTTTTTTTTACTAGACCGGGGATCAAACTCGGGTCCTTCTGCTTGCAAGGCAGGCAGTGAAAAAATTGAACTAAATCCCTGGCCCTTTGTTTTGTTTTGTTTTGAGACAGGGTCTCACTATGTAGTTGAGGCTGACCTGGAACTCACTGTGTAGCCCAGGCTGGTCTCGGACTCACAGGGATCCTCCTGCCTCAGCCTCCCGAGTGGTGGGATTACAGGCGTGCGCCTCCAGGCCCAGCTACCAGCCCCCCTTTTTAGTTCATGTTCGTCGTAATAATGAATACGCTTCCTGGGAAGTTGGTACACACCTTAATCCTGTCCACTTCCCTTTCTCTTCCTTCCCCCCATCTCGAGATCCCCTTCCCTTTTGCAAAAGGTTTATCTCCCTGTTGCCTCTTTTATCTTTTATTTTGCTCTTTATTTATACTTTGGGGTCCTCATATAGGAGAAAACATGCGATATTAAGCTTTTGTGGCTGATTTATTTCATTAAGCCTTATGGTCCCAAACTGCATCCAAATTTTCTACAAATGACTCAAATATCTTTTTTTTTTTCCCATTCCTTCCATTGGATTTCTTTTTTTTTAATTGTAGTTATTTACTTTTTTACTCAAATATCTTTCTTTATGACTGAGTAGTATTCCATTATACACAATGCGTCACATTTTCTTTGTTCATTTAAACATGGATGTGTTACTGTAATATGACGTCTTTAAATCTTTCACAAAGATAAACTAGATGAGAAATAGCTTAACTGCATGGGATTTCTAATTTTTTTTTTGAGGCATCTCTGTTGATAGTCCTGCCATCAGTGCAGAAGTGTTCCTGGCCCCGCCCAGCCTTGAATTCTTGATGTTAGACCATTCTTGCTGGGGTTAGAGGGAATCTCGACTTCAATCTGTATTGCTCACATGCCCAAAGATGTTGAACATCTTTTCATATATTTTTTGGCCATGCGTTCTTCTTCTAGGAAGTGTGTATTCATTTCAACTGCCTGCTCTTTTTATTTGGTGGGGAGTATAATTTTTTGAATTCTTTATATATTCTAGATATTAGTCCAAGGAGAAGCTGGTAAATTTTTTCTCCCATACTGTGGTTTGTCTCATCACTATATTTGTTGTTTCTTTGCTGTGCAGAGGCTTTTTAATTTGATATAATTCCATTTGTTAATTCTTTTTGCTATTTCTTGTTCAACTGAAGTTCTGTTCAGAAAGTCTTTGCTTGCTGGGGATTTAGCTCAGCAGTTCGGTGGCCTGCCTTGCAAGCGCAAGGACCTGAGTTCGATCCCCGGTACCAAAAAAAAAGAAAGTCTTTGCTTAAGCCTATGCCTTCAAGAGTTTTACCTATTTATCTTTCTGCAGATTGTTTCAGTTTTAATATCTAGGTCTTTGATTCATTTTTGTTCTATTTTAGTGCATGGTGAGAAATATAGGTTTAGGTTCAAGCTTCTGCATGTGGATAACCAATTTTTCCAGCAACATTTGTTGAAGAGGCTCTCTTTTCTGGAGCATGTGCTTTTAGTCCTTTTGTCAAAGATCAGATGTCTGAGTGTGACTGGATTTCTTTCTGCATCCTTTAATATGACCTTTTTGATTAAATTTATAGTAATTATAGCTGCATGTTTGCTGCCAAGTGTACTCAGTAATGTTTCACCCCTTAATTTTTTTTTTCTTTTCTGTTTTTTGTTTGTTTATTTGTTTTTTGGTACTGGGGATTGAACTCGGGTCCTTGTGCTTGCAAGGCAGGCGGCAGAATCACTGAGCCAAATCCCCAGCCTTTTTTTTTTTTCTGATTTTGAGACAGGGTCACACTATGTAGTTCAGGCTGGCCTTGAACTCACTATGTAGCCCAGAATGGCCTCCAACTCATGCTGATCCTCCTGCCTCAGCCTCTGGAGTACTGGGATAACAGGCGTGCACCATCATGCCTGGCATGTAATTATTTTAAAGCATTTTAATAGTCACTCTAAAATGTTTTCCATTTGTACTTTTTTATTTTAAAAAGCTTTTATTGTATTTATTTTCAACAATTGCTTTTTATATTTTAAAAAATACATGAATCTATTATGTTACTCTGAATAAATTAAATAGCTTGCCATTTGGGATTGATCTTCCCTGTATCTCCCACCTACCTTTCAGGTGTTAAATGACTACCAATAAATGAAACAATGTCCTACCAAGATACTATAATAAACTGTGATAATAATCGGTATATTTGAATTTCTTCTAACTGCAGCAACGCTAGGAAATCTTCCTAGTTTACAGCTCTGTCCGTATCTAAGATCCTGACCATAATGTTTAATTTCAATAAGACCTAGTATCTATTATAACATATATATAGGAAGTGCAGTGGTGGTACTAAGAGTAGCCTTGGGGGGACTTTTCAGTTTGAACTATTTATCCTTTCCTTTCTCTTAACTACAAAACTCTGTAAATTCTATCCTGTCCCATGAGATCTTTGTCCCCCAGGCCTCCTTATTGGTAGACGTTACAGCTGTCACAGTACAGTTCTACAACAAAATACCCAAAAGAATGATCTCATGAAATGGATCTATTGGAGGAATGGTTCCAGTGAACTCTTACTTACAAGGCATTTGTTTTGCGATGTTTTAGAGAGCATGTTTTCTTTCGTATACTTTGCACTTTTCAGAAAGGCATCTTCTGGGGAAATAAACTCTGTCCTCCTTGTCCAGCAGATGCAGATGGCCTACTGCTGTGTCTCACAGCTGCTCACCTGTTCACCTCCATTTTGAGAGCAACACTTCAGGCTGTGTGTGAAAGCAGAGACCTGATCTGAAGAGCACAGCTGCCCTAGCTACAGCTACCTCACGGTGCCTCAGGTATTGCCGTCTCTAGGTGCGGAAGCAGACATGCCTCTTGTTCTAAGAAAAAGAGAAAAGGGTCAAGAAGACAACCCTAATACGTCACTTACTCTAAGTGAGAGAGAAACTGACAGGGAGATCAAGTTAAGACGATCGCTTCCCAAGAGAGAAAGTGTTCAGGAGGACAAGTTTGAAGACGCCTATGAGATTATCCCTGTGGCCACCACGATGAATCTGGTGTCTTCCTTGGAAGAATGTACAACTGGATTGTACTTATTTCTAAATAACAGATTCTCAAATGCAATAAATCTCATTCAGCCGTGGTCTAAAAACAGTATATACCATGCCCTAATATACGGTATGCTTATGGTGGTCAAGGCCGTCCTGACTTTTGATCCAGAAGACATACGGATTGGAATGACTGCCGCCAGTGAAGCTTTGAAAACTTGTAACGGCTTCCGAAAAAAAACAAGGATCCTTTCTTTACCCCACCTAGTAAGCAGACAGGGAGTAAGCGCCGTCACAGAAGAGGAACTGCATGCCGAAGTCTGCTACGCGGAGTGCCTGATCCTGAAAGCTGCTATAACGTTTATACAGGTCGACAGCTTGCTTAGTTTTGTTAAAAGCGGGATAAACATTGGGACAAGTTACCAGATATACAAAGACTGTCAACAGGTGGTAGCGTTTCTGTCTAACTACCAAGGCAAAGCCCGCAGGCACCTGGTGGGAGGGATCAAGTTTGGACTTGGAGCGTTCAATTTGATGTTGTCCCTTGTCCCACCGGGGATACTTAAACTGCTGAATATCGTGGGCTATTCTGGTGACAGAGAGGTAGGCTTGGCTTTGCTTCATGAGAGTGCATCTGAACCCCACATAAATAATATTTTAAGTGTTTTGACGCTACTCTTTTATTACAATTACATTTATGTAGCTTTTGGTGTGGAAAATGTTTCCAGTCCCACTACAGAGACTCTCCTCCTGACCCATCTGCAGAAGTTCCCAAACTGTGTTATACTTAAATTTTTTCACGCACGCTCCTGTATGTTGAGAGGAAATTTCGAAAAGGCACAGCTGAAGTTACAGGACTGCATTTCCATTCAGAGCGAATGGAAGCAGGTTCACCACCTCTGCTGCTGGGAGCTCATGTGGTGCCACATTTTTATGCAGAACTGGAGGCAGGCTCTCCACTGCGCCCACCTTCTGTACCTGCACAGCACGTGGTCCAAGGCCACCTACACCTACAGCAAAGCCGTGATACTGGCTCTGCTTCCTTCCGATTTCGCGAGAGCAGTGAAAGAGGACACGAACTCTCTCTTCTTAAATGTGGATAGCTTAAGAATCAAAATTTTAGGCACTCCTGGGCCAATAGAACAGTTTGTTGCCGAGAAAGGGCAGCGCTACGGTAGGACTGCGGGCTGGTTTACGGCACAGCCCCTTCTGGAATTCATTTACGCCTGGAGCGGATTCCGACTCATGAGCAAGAGGCTAGAACTCATTTCAAGCTGGCTGTCCATAATCGACAGAGGAAAAGACCTTTTGCAAGAAAATCCGAATGAGGAGTACAGGACAGATGACGTAAGTTTGTTAAATTTGTTGAAAGGTCTGTGCCTGAAGCACTTAGGCAAATATCCGAAGGCAGAGCACTACTTTAACCGTGTTATTCAGAAGGAGAAGTCGTTAAAATATGACCACTACTTGGTGCCATACACGCACTATGAACTGGGAATTCTGCACTATCTCAGAGGAGATTACGCCAGCGCCACGAAAAGCCTGGACAACATAAAGAACTACAGAGACTACCCCATGGAAGCTCCCTTACAGTTCCGGACTCATATAGCCCTGGGGCAAATAGCCAAAGAAAAGTGATTAAGCACAGAGGGTGTTTAGTGTGAGTGAAATACCACAATCAGCAAGATAATGAGCAGGTAGGAAAATAATACTTTCTTTGTGGAAAAAAAATCCATGAGGCGACTGCTAAGCATCTGATCAGTAGCAAGTAAGAAAGGAACTGGCCAGTTCTTTTCCTTCTTTCCTTTTCCTTGCCTGTAAAAATATATGCCTTACACTGGTAAACGGAGTGATGTGTGTTTTATTATTATTAGTAGTAGTAGTACGGGGGATTGAACTCCGGTCCTTGCACTGGTGAGGCAGGCCATGAAAACACTGAGCTAAATCCTTGGCCCAGTTTTTTTTAAAAAGAAAAGGCATCTGGGCATGGTTATGCATTCCTGTAATCCCAGCACTCGGGAGGCTGAGGCAGGAGGATCGCTGTGAGTTCAACACCAGCCTGGGCTACATAGTGAGTTCCAGGTCAGTCTCAACTACAGAGTGAGACCCTGTCTCAAAAGAATCAATGAATAAATGAATGAATGAATAAAAGAAAAAAGGCAAATCTTGTACATTATAAAACATTCTCTTATAAGCTATGAATTTATTATGTTAATGTTTTCAAAACCTCAAGAGGACCCAGGCATGGTGGTGCAAGCCTGTAATCCCAACATTTAGGAGGCTGAGGCAAGAAGATCACTGGAATTTCAAGGCCTGCCTGAACTACAAATCTAGACCCTGTCTTAAAACAAGCAAACAAATAGCAAAACAAAACCTCAAAAGGTAATTTTTAACACCTCTGTAGATAATGTATACAATTCACAAAATAGGAAAAGTAGTTACACTAAGAATCACAGTACCTATAAAGATTTTTTTATTTTAGGAAAATGACTTCAAGGTTTTACAGTTATTTCAAAACTATGGTATACTGAATAGCTTATGTTCTGAATTATTATTCCCAAATACACTTTTTTTTCCTGAGACAGGGTCTTGCTATGCATGCAGCTCAGGCTGGCCTTGAACTCACTATGTAGCCTAGGTTGGCCTCAAACTTGAAGTGCTCCTCCTGCCTCAGCCTCCCAAGTGCTGGGATTACAGGAGTGCATAACCATGCCCAGCCACATACATTTTTATTGGCTTCTTATATTGGAGATGATTTTTCTGTAGTATATCAGGAATACTTTTTTTTAACATTTTTTCATTAGGCAACTCAAATATGGGTTTATAATTTGTCCCAGAATAGACAAGAAATACCTCCCCACCCTTCTATACACACACACACACCCACATGCACATACATCCTTTGAAAGTTAGGCCTAGTGGCATACGCCTGTAATCCCAGCACTCCGGGAGGCTGAGGCAGGAGGCCTAGCCGTTGAGTGACTTAATGAGACCTTGTCTCAAAATAAAATTAAAAAGGGCTAAAGATGTAGTTCAGTGCAAAGGCCCTGGGTTCTATTCCCAGTACCACAACAATAATAACAAAAAATCCTTTGAGGATTACTGTAGGAGGCCAAGAGAGGATAGATCACTGGGTAGGGTAGGGAAGACCAGGCTGTTGGAGTGTTTAATTACCACATAACTCCCTTTCATTGCCCTCCCCGAAGGGTAATAGGGATAGTGCTTGTCACTGTTTTCCCTGCCTGCAGGATCAAAATCAGTTCCCAGTACTGGGTCAGTAAGTCTGGCTGAATATACCCCTTCTCCTTTTTCTTTGTGTTTTTGGTTGATTGTTTGTTTGTTTGAAATAGGGATCTTGCTATGTGGTCCAGGCTGGTTTTTAACTTTCTGTAACTCAAGCTGGCCTGCTGCTCATCCTCTGCCTTAGCCTTTTTTGAGTGCTGGAATTACAATATGTTCAGTATCCTTCCTTCTTCTAGTCACCTTTTAAAACAGAAATTGCGGACTGGGGATTTAGCTGAGTGGTTCCACCTCCTACCTTGCAAGGACAAGGACCTGAGTTTGATCCCCGGTACCAAAAAAATAAAAAAATAAATAAATAAATAAAATAATAATAATAATAATAAATAAACAGAAATTGCTAAAAGTTTGGCTTGCTAAAATATGGTAGCAAACACTTTATTTATTTATTTATTTATTTTGGTTTTTTTTTGAGACAGGGTCTCAGTTGAGACTGACCTGGAACTCACTGTAGCCCAGGCTGGTCTCGAACTCACAGCAATCCTCCTGCCTCAGCCTCCCGAGTGCTGGGATTACAGGTGTGCGCCACCACGCCTGGTTTAGCAAACACATTATTTAAATGGTTTTGCAGGGCCAGGGATTTAGCTCAGTGGTGCTGTGCGGGCCTTACAAACTCAAGGTCCTGAGTTTGATCCCTGCTGCTGCTGCTGCAAAAAAAATTTGGTGTTGTGGGAACATGCCTGCAATCCCAGCACTTGGGAGGCTGAGGCAGGAGGCTCACGAAGAGTTCAAGGCTAGGCTAAGTTACATAATGAGTTCAAGATCAGACTGGACTACATAGTGAGACCATGTATCAAAATCTACTGCCCCCAACAAAAGATCTGGTAAGTCATTCATCCTCCTATAGTATGCATACATTGCTGGAAAGTCTTTCTCTCAAATTTTTGGTATCTGAGAAATATCTCTAAATCTGTAACTTGTTTTCTACTATTTTTATTTTTTGTGGTACTAGGGATGAAACCGAGGGTCTTGTACATGACAGGCAAGTGCTCTATCACTAAGCTTTTTATTTTATTTATTTTTCCAAACGTATGTCTGATTTATTTCACTTAGGAGTATGGTCTCAAGGTCCATCCATTTAGCTATGAATGTCTGAAGCTCAGACTTCTTGGCAGAATAGCACTCCATTGTATAAAAACCACATCTTCTTTATCCACTCATCAGTTGATGGGTATTTGAGCTGATTCCAAGATTTAGCTATTACAAACTGAGCTGCTATAAACGTGGGTGTGTATCTTATCACTGTGGCATGATGCTTTTAAGTATTTCAGGAAGATACCAAGAAGAGGTATAGCTGGGTCAAATGGAACCTCTAGTTTTAGTTCTTTGAGACATCTCCATACTGATTTCCACAGCGGTTGCACCAGTCGACACTCCCACCAGCAGTGGAGAAGGGTTCCTTTTTCCCCACAGCCCTGCCACCACTTGTTATTGGTCGATTTCTTTTTGTTGTTGTTGTTTTTGGTACTGGGGGTGGAACTCAGGTCCTTGTGCTTGCGAGGCAGGCAGTGGAACCTCTGAGCTAAATCCCCGGCCCATTGGTCGATTTCTTGATAGCAGCCATTCTTTCTGGAGGTGGAATCAGCATTGTTTTAATTTGCATCTCATGAATGACCAGTGATGTTGAACATTTTCAAAATATATTTATTTGCCATTTCTAATTCTTCATCTGAGAAGTGTCTTTTCATTTCAGGTGCCCATTTTTTGCATTGTCTTTAAATTGGGGGAGGTCTGATTTTTTTTTTTTTAGGTACCAGGGATTGAACTCAGGACCTTGTGCTTGCAAGGCAGGCAGCAGAAAGACTGAGCTAAATCCTCAGCCCATGATGGGAGGGTCTGATCTTTTTTGGGTTCTTTATATATTCTAATAATAATCCTTTACCTGAATAGCTGGTGAATTTTTTTTCCCATGCTGTGGGTTGTCACTTCATTCTGTTGATGGTTTCTCTTGCTGTGCAAAAGCTTTTTCATATGATGAGGTCCTAGTTGTTGATTCTTTGTAGTATTTCCTGTGCAGTCTGGGTTTTGTTCATGAAGTCTGCCTACTCCTATGTCCTCAAAGATTCATCCTTTCTTCCAGAAGACTTAGTGTTTCTGTTTTAGTATTTAGATAGTTGATCCATTTTGATTTTAGGTTAGTGTATGTTGAAAGATATGCATCTAGTTTCAATTTTTGACATGTGGAAAGCCAGTTTTTCTAGCATCATTTACTAAAGAAGTTATCCTTCTCCCAGTAAAGGTGTTTGGCTCCTTTGTCTAAGGTAAGGTGGTTGAGTATGTCTGGAGTTGTTTCTGTATCCTCTAGTCAGTTCCATTGATTCTCAGTTCTGTTCGTTTCCTAGTTATTTTAAGATAGGGTCTTTCTAAATTGCTCATGCTGTCCTGGATCTTGAGATCCTCCTGCCTCAGCCTCCCAAGTAAGAATGAAATTACAAGTGTTTGGCACTCTGCCTGTCTTTAATCCCTAGCTTTATTATTTCTTTTTTTAGACAGGGTCTTGTTATGCAGTTCAGGCTAACCTTGAACTCACCATGGAGCCCAAGTCGCCCTCAAACTTATGACACTCTTCCTGCCTTGGCCTCCCAAGCATGGGATTGCAAGTGTGCACCTAGCTTTCTCATCTTTCTTTTTCTCTGCTTTCAGCTTCCAACCATGGGTTACTGAATATCCATGAAGGGTACAATATACATATTTCTATTTACTAAAATACTATCCCATTCTAGTCCTACTTCCTTAGAATTCCAGTTGTTCCCTCATGTTTTGGTCTTCCAGATTACACATGGCCTCTTTGTGCAAATGAATCACAGATCTAATCCATCCATTTAAACTTTTTACCAGAGCCTGGAGGAGGTTTCTCACTGTACAGTACTATAAACACAGATAAGGTGCTTTTGAAGCAGCTTTTATTCCACAATGAAATTTCCCTAATTTTTTGTTTTGTTTCATTTTTGTTTTTTGAGACAAGGTCTCACTATGTAATCCAGGTTGACCTTGAACTCAGAATGTGGCCCAGGCTGGCCTCAAATTTTTGGTCTTCCTGCCTCATCCTCCTGAGTGCTGAGATTACAGGCATGCATCATCACACCCAGGGCTTTTCCTATTTAATTTAATGAATATAACTATTTGAAAAGATGTAAGAGCCTGAAAAAGAAAATGAAGAGGAAAGAATTTTCTTCATGAAGAAAAGAACAAAGCAAATTTTTGTGAAAGGCCTAGAGTCCTCAAATTCTTAACATGCCCTTGCCCTAATGCGACCCACCCATAAAACCTCTCCGTTCCTCCTCTGACAGGTCTTTTCCCATTGCTGTCAGTCTACACTAGCACTTTACTTCCTACCTGGGCCAGCTGTCTTTAGAAACCAGAACTCACTGGAGAGAAAAAATGGATCTGTGGCAAAACATACATATTTTAACCACATCAATTGCTCTATAAAGATTTTTCACAGTGCTGAGGATCCAACCCAGTATGTTGGACATGCTAGGCAAGTGCTCTACTACCACTGAGCTACTTTCCCTGGTCATAAAGATATAATTGTCTGGGCATATTTGAGAAGCAACAGCACCGTTTTTATTTAACTTTTTTTTTCTTTTTGGTTCTGTTTTTCCATTTTTTTTTTTTTTTTAGAGAGGTCTCACTATGTAGACCAGGCTGGTCTTGAACTCACTATGCAGCCCAGGCTGGCCTTGAATTTACAGTGATCCTCCTGCCTCAGCCTCTTGAGTACTGAGATTATAGGCATGTGCCACCATACTTGGCTGAACAACACAGTTTTTAAAAACTTTCCTGCTTTCATATGTTTAGTACAAAGTTTTACCCTCGGGAAACAAGCCCATCTTCACTGCTCAGGAACCAGTCCTCCCTCTCTGAGATAATAAAACCTCCACTTTGGGCAGAGCAGACAAAAAGCAAGTGATTGGAGACACATCTCTCTGAAGCCATTTTCCCTTAGGGAGTGGTTGTTCTGGAATCTTTTTTCCTAATGCCATCACTTTGTTTGGGTAGAGAGAATGTATGTTACATGCATTTTCAGAGTGCATATGGTCGCTGCTTCCTTATTTTCTCCAGATCCAATTTCTCTGCCCACCCCCAACTTTCTGGTGCTGAAGAAGGAAGCCAAGGCCTCTTGAGCACTAAGCGGGATCCTACCACTGAGCTCCCCCGAGGCCTTCTGCATTCTTTCTAATACACTGATTTAATCATGTCATTCCACAGTTCATAAATTTCCTGTTCTCTGCTGCCTATTTACTCCCAAGATGAGTTCAACTGGTTGCATTGTCGTGTACCTGTAGTGTCAGCTTCTCATGGGGCTCTTGGAAGAAGACTGCTTAAATCCAGGAGTTTATGATCAGCCTGAGCAACATATTAAGATCCTGTTTTATAGCTGGGCGTGGTGGCACACACCTGTAATCCCAGCACTCATGAGGCTGAGCCAGGAGGATCACTGCCTGGTTGGCTGGAAATTTTATTAGAATTTGTGCTAGGTAGTATTGCAAGAACTTTTTATTTTTTTAAACAAGGTCTAGCTATGTAATTTAGGCTGGTGTTGCACTCACTATGTATCAGGCTGGGCTTTGATCTCTATGTATCAGGATTCTTCCGTCTCAGCCTCCTGAATGCTAAGATTACAGGCATGTGCCACTACACCAAGCTCATACTAAATTATCAGTGGATGTCTAGTTATGGAATTTTAGAGTTGACAGTACCCTGGGTCATCTATCAGACATTTTCATTTATAGATGAGGAAACTGAAATCCAAGGAGGTGAATGACTTCAGGAGCACAAGTAGTGGTATGTTAGAACCAGTTTACACTGGCTCAAAAATCCCATTATTAAATATTCAGGGATTTTTGTAATCCAGTTGTTAAATCACTAGTGCCTTGAAATCAGCCGCAGTGAAAATATTTACACTACAGAAATAGCAAACAGTACAAATCAAAGCTCTCCCTACCCCAAGAGAAGCAGTTTTCTAGGGTACAGCAAATTTAACCAAACTAAAACCAAAATTACTAAACTTCTTGTCCACTTTATTTTTTTAGTGCTGGGGATTGAACCCCTTAGGCAAGTGTGAGGGCCAAGCCTCCCCAGGAGGCACCTGGAGAGGAGTCCGGTTAGTCTTACGTAGTCCTTTGTGAGTGAGTTAATTAATTCCCCAACAAGAACAATACAGAGAGTCAATCATCAGTGTCAGGGCAACATCAGACTAGGAGAATTGGGCTGCAGCTCCACTGTTCAAGAGCTGTGTGTCTCTATTCCTTTAGAAAAAGAGCTATATAGCAAACACAGCTACTAAAAGGTTACAGGAGGAGGTATCGTATAGAGGTGCAAATTCCCTATGACGAGTGTTATTGTTATATACATCTAAAATGTAATATACATGTTTTGCTGTTAAAAAATGTAAGCATGTATCACTAAAAAAATGGGGGGGTGTTACAGTATTTATAGTATATATTATCTGCTTACCTCAGTAAAACTAAGTTTAGTTTGGTAAAACTAAACACCTGCTGCATGACCTTGGCCATACTGTGCATGCATGGTTGAGTATGTTGTCAGTTTTAATAACTGGCTTTTATGTGCATGTGTCTGAGTGGAGTTGTAACCTTAAGTGTCCTCAGATGCCTGGGCTTTGAGTATAGGCAGAAGTGGTACCCCATAGCAAGGGCCTAACACTGAGTTACACGCCCAGCTACTTTTACTAGCTTTTAAAGCCTAGTTCTTAACAGAAAGTATAGCATAGAGCCGGGCTGGTGGCGCATGCCTGTAATCCCAGCACTTGGGAGTGGGACAGGGTCTCACTATGTAGTTGAGACTGGCCTGGAACTCACAATGTTGCCCAGGCTGGTTTCGAACTCAAAGCGATCCTCCTGTCTCAACCTCCCAAGTGATGGGATTATAGGCGTGCACCACCACGCCCGGCTTAAAATGAACAATTTTTAGCAGGGCTAAGGAAAGGTTAAAGGTATGTAGGCAAGTTTTAGTGGAATTATATGCATGAAAGAAAATGGATAGAGAAGAGAGAGGGCAGCAGAGAATATGAGAAAAGGGACACCAGCTGGAGTGAAAGGAGGCACTGGGCAACAAAGGGTATGAACCAACCAGGGGAGGAGAGAGCACCATTTGAGGTTAAATTCTACTTGTAGAATTACATACATAGACAAGAAAGGCTGAAGTTGCTCATTTTTGCAGTATAGAATGATGCTTAAGGCCAGTGTAGTGGCACACACCTGTAATCTTACCACTCAGGAGGCTGGGCTACATACTGAGTTCAAGGCCAGCCTGGACTACAAAGCAAGACCCTGTCTCAAAAAAAAAAAAGAGAGAGAGAGAGAAGTTTAAAATACAAAAGAACACGTCACAAATTGTAGTTCTTTTGGATTTATTTATTTATTTATTTTGGTACTGGGGATTGAACTGGGGACCTTGCACTTGAGAGGCAGGTGGCGGAACCACTGAGCTAAATCCCCGCCCTTTTGGACTAAATTTTTGAGGTCAAACATTTTCCCCTACAATATAATAACAGTTGGAATTTACATTAGCTCTTTGTAGATTTACAGAGGCAAAATCTAATTTAATCCCCTAAAGCCACATTAATATAATCAGGCAACTCATTCAGAATGAAGAAGTTTTGGGCGGGATTATTGATGTCACTAAGAAACAGTATACTTCAGTTCCAAGTAGTAACAGATTGATTTTTGATGTTTTTTACACCTTAATTCCATAGTCTTCTAATTTTGTTCTTGTAAATTTGCTTTTGTTGGGCTGGGGATTTAGCTCAGTGGCTCTGCCACCCGCCTTGCAAAGGCAAGGTCCTGAGTTCAATCCCCGGTACCAAAAATAAAATAAAAAAATAAATAAAATTTAAACATTCCCTTTGTTTTCACGTGTGCAGAAGGAATTCAGTTTATCACCTTGTACCATTTTTAAGGATTACAGTCTTGAAAAATACTATCCTAGAATAAACCAGAAGCCAACTAAATACATGATCAAAGAAGTCTGTAGCAGAAGCAAGTGTTTTGTACTTTTGTACCGGAGGAATTTCTAGTGAGTGATCTGTGAGGTGAAATCCAACACAGCTCAGTGTATTTCTTCCCAGCTTCTGCACCTCCAGCAAGATGTACGGGAGACCCACGCACGGGAAGCAGACATTTGAACTGCCCTAGACAAGACAAGCACGAAGTACCTTAGCCCCGTTACTCTTCTCCACAGCACGTTCACTTCACACTTCTACAATTTTAGGATTTACCTAGGGAGTTAAGTGCTTTGATTCCATAACAGTAGTGCCTTTTCATGCCTACCTGCACCTGGCATGAACCTCTTCCTTAAAAAACAAACATGCAAACGAACGAGACTACTTGAGACGTCCACCGTGGCAATGGAGAGGCGAGGCCCTACGGAACTTAACAGTATTCCTAGTACACAAACATCCCAGCGACCTCGACTCTCAGATCCAAAAAGAGGGACCAAAAGGAGGACTACAAAATAGAGGATTGTGGGGGACGGAAGTGACGCAAGCAGCGAAGCATGCTGGTCCCAGCGGCTGCGAACAAGACTCCTTTCGGCGCAGCGCGGTTGCAGAGCGCGAGGTCTAGCGAGGAGTTTCACCTTCCCCTTTCTTTGCTTTTCAGGATTAAACGTTAAGCATCACTTTGTTTGAATATAGCTGTAAGTATTGTGGGACCGCAGACTGGGCAATCTCCAGATTTTACGAGCCAGTTGTCACAAATCGGAGCCCTGTTCCGCGGAGACACCCAGCTAGAGCCAATGGGTGGAAGTCAGTTCTCTGCTTCAACTTCGGGTCACAGGGCTGTGGGGTGAACTCCTCTGACCGCAGGAAAGTTAAACTGAAGGGTTTGAACTTCCTGTGCGGACCAGGATTAGGCAGAGCGTAAGCGTCCTGGAGTGGGGTAGAAGCATCCGGTTCCCCACGCTCTGCCCGCAGCTGCTCCTGTCTCCGTAGCTTTCAGACTGAATTATAAATACAGGTGTTATCCTTGTCCTGATACAGTTAAACATTCTCAAGCAATTACAGTACAAATTCCTTGTACGGCCCATACATTAATACTCATTATTGTTCTTGTTCTCTCACCACCCCTCCCCACCCCCCGCAGGGCCTCGCTGGCCTTGAACTCCCTGTGTAGCCCAGGCTGGCCTGGAACTCGCACTGATTCTCTTACTGCGACCTCCTGAGTGTTGGGATTACAGGCGTGCACCGCCACACCCAGCTCGTTTTGTCTTGTTTTTGAGACAGAATCCTCACTTACTCTACTCTGTTTTTGTTTTATTCTACCCTGCTTTTCGAACTGGTGGGCTGAAGTGGTTTTCTCACCTCAGTCTCCTGAGTAGCAGGGACTATTGGCATACTGAGCTACAGACCTAGCTCCATATATTAATATTTGATTGTATTAAGTGATGTGTTAATAATTTGAGGCAAATCAAGTGTTATTGACTTCTAGTATGGAGATTGGAGGTAAGACATTAATTTGTTTGTGTGGAACATAAATATTAACCCAAACTGGTGGTGGTTTTAGATTTAGCCCCCTGGCGACCATGAGTGAATGGACTAAGAAAAGCCCCTTAGAATTGGAAGATTACGTTTATAAAGAAGTCAGAGTAATAGCCTCTGAGAAGAAGGAGTACAGAGGATGGCTTTTAACTACAGACCCAGTCTCTGCCAAGTGAGTATGCATCCTGCTTCCCTGAAATCTTGACATCCTTTTGTGCTGCCTGTATATTACAATCAAATTAAGAAAGCAGATCAATGAAAGGCTAGTGATTCTCACATAAGAATTTAATTGCTTTTGAAGCTAAATGCCTTTCTGACTGTAGATTATCCTATCAGACTAGGCAAATTCATAGGAATAGGACTTAGAAATTCTTTCTCTGTCTTTTTTTTTTTTTTTTTTTTTTTTGAGACAAGGTCTTGTGATATAGTCCAGGCTGGTCCTAAAATCGCTGTATAACCTAGATTTGCTGAACTCACCATCCCAAGTGGTGAGGTTACAGGTGTGTGCCATTATGCCCAGCTCCTCTTGTATTTTTATTTTTTATTTTTCATTTTACTTTTTTGGTACTGGGGATAGAATTTGGAACCTTGTGCTTGGGAGGCAGGCAACAGAACCACTGAGCTAAATCCCAGGCCCAACTCTTGTTTTTTTTTTTTTTTGCACCGGGCATTGAACTCAGGTCCTTGTACTTGCAAGGCAGGCCACCGAACCGCTAAGCTAAATCCCCGGCCCCCAACTCTTGTATTTTTAATGCAAAATTTCAAGCATACATAAAGGTAAAGAGAGTCCTATAACAAACGCTTAACTACCTCCACCCCCAAATCCAAGTATTTTAAACACTGTTCCAGACATTTTAAGTTGTGTTCACAAATACTTCAACATACCCCTTGAAAGAAAAGTTTTGACACATGTAATCACAATTTATAACACCAAGCAGAAGTAATAATAGTAAACCTAATATTAGCTAATTTCTAGTCTGTTTAGATTTTCTCTATTGTCTCAAAAGATCCCTTTTAGGCCAGGCATAGTGGCACGTACCATAGTCTCAGCACTTGGGAGGCAGGAGGATTGCTGCAAGTTTGAGGCCAACCTGGGCTACATTGTGAGTTCAAGGTCAGCCTGAACAACTTATTGAGACCTGTCTCAAACCCCTCCCCTGAAAAAGTTCCCTTTTAAATTAATTCAGGTTGGTTAATTGTCTCTTAAGTGCCTTAATGTATAACTGCACTCTCCTCTTTTTGTTTTCCATGTCATTTAGTTTTAAGAATCTAGGTCAGGACCAGGGATGTGGCTCAGTGGGCCGTGCCTGCCTGGCAAGTGCAAGGTCCTGAGTTCGATTCCTGGTACCAGAAAAGAAAAGAAAAAAGAATTAGGTCCGTTTTTTTACAGCATCAAACATTCTTGATTTAGCTTGTTGCGTTACACAGTATAGTTTAACATGTTCTTTTATCCCCCATGTTTCCTGTTTGTATTTAGATCTAGAGGTTTGATTGGGATCAGATTTGTTTTTTGCAAGACTGCTTGCTTGCTTGCTTGCTTCCTTCCTTCCTTCCCTTATTTACTTAACTTATTGATGATACTGAGGACTGAACCCAGGGCCTTTGCACTGAGCCACATAGCCCACCCCTTTAAAATTTTTTTTATTTTGAGACAGGGTCATGCGTTTGAATTTGCAATCCTCCTGTCTTAGCCAACCAGAGTGCTGGGATTATAGGTGTGTGCTGCCACTCCTGGCAAGACTGCTTTAAAGGTGGGGGTATGCTTTATTTTGGACTGATTTTAGATTTATAGAAAAGTTACAAAGTGATTATAGAAATTTCATATATTCTTCTTTTTTTTTTTTTTTTTTTTTTTTTTTTTTTTTTGAGGGTGTGTCTCTGTAGCCCAGGCTGGTCTTGAACTCACAGCGATACTCCTGCCTCAGCCTCCCGAGTGCTGGAATTGTAGGTGTGCACCACTATGCCTGGCTTCATACATTCTTTACTCATCTTCCCCTAATGTTAATATCTTACATATTGGGGTACATTTATCAAAACTAAGAATTTACATTAAAATAAACTACAGAGGTTATCTAGATTTTACCACCGTTTCTGCTAATGGCTTTTTTCTGTTCAGGATCCAATCCAGGATTTCAGGTTACATTTAGCTGCCATGTTTCCTTAGTCTCCTCTGATTCATGATATTTTTTCAGTCTTTCCTTGTTATCATGACCTTGACAGTTTTGAAAAGTACTGGTGAGGTGTTTGGTGGAATGTCTCTCAATTTGGGTTTGTACAGTTTTTCTCATAATTTGCTTATTTATTAATTTTTGAGACAAGGTCTTGCTGTGTAGTTTAAGCTGGCCTTGAACTCACTAAGGAGTCCCAGGCTGGCCTCAAACTCATGGCAGTCCTTCTGCCTCAGCCTCCCAAGTGCTGTGATTACAGGTGTGTGCCACAATGCCTGGCTTTTTTGGCTTACTTTAGTGTATTCAGTTCTATTCTTTTAATTCAAAAGTTAAATATATAACCTCTTACACATGTTTAAGGCATTCATAACTCTTTCTCTGCATACAGAGGCTCAAACCCAGGGCCCTATACATACTAAGGATAAGCTGTGCCACTGAACAATACCTCCAGCCCCACTAACTCTTTAGGTAATATATTAGCTGTGTCCCATAATGATTAATTTTAAAATGGGCAAAATGTTTAGCCATTTAGGGTTTTCAGTGAATACTTACTTGTACAAGCTTTTGGTGGTGAGAGGATTAATTTCAGACAGGTAAAATTGTTCCCTCTTACTCTTGTTACTTGTTTAGATTTATGCTGCCTCTGGTTACTTTTTCCATAGTTTAGTGGGTCTTCAGCCTTTTCTTTTGCAAATCTGCTCTGAACTTACTTTTCTTTCAAAGTATTGTCCTTGTGAACTTCCTTGAAGATGGCAGCTTATCTGTGACTGGAATTATGGGACATGCTGTGCAGACTGTTGAAATTGTGGGTGAAGGGGACCACAGAGTGAGAGAGAAGCTGACACCCTTGTTCATGTCTGGAGACTGTGCAGCGTACAGTCCTGAGGACCTGGAACAGAGAAAGAACAGCCTAAAGAAGTGGCTTGAGAAGAACCACATCCCCATCACTGAACAAGGAGAGTCCCAGAGGACCCTCTGTGTGGCTGGGGTCTTGACTATAGAGCCCCCATACTGTCCAGAAAATTGCAGCAGCTCTAATGAGATTATTCTGTCCCGTGTTCAGGATCTTATTCAAGGACATCTTGCAGCTTCCCAGGGAGAAGCCAGGAACTGTGGGCATACTGATTAAAATCGACTTTATGCCTTTATTTCTTCATAAAATGTTGCGAATGTAAGCCATTATATTACAGCACTGTATATTTCAATTTTTTGTTTTGGTAAAATCAAAGGAGAGTAAGAGTGCAGATTGCCTTGGGAAATAAATGATCTAGTACAAAGCCTCATGTGCCGTGAAATTAGCTCAGGGAAGTCAAAATATTAAGGTTTTGTTTTTTATTTATTTTTTAAGTCTGAGTCTTACTTTTAGCCTAGGCTGGCCATGAACTCAGGATCTTCTTACCTCAGCCTCTCCAAAAGGGTCTTTCTTTTTCTGTGATGAGGGTATACTGCTCTCAGCTTTTTTTTTTTATGGTGCTGTGGACTGAACTCAGGGTCCTGTACATGTGAGGCAATCACTGTACCCCTGAGCTATATCCCTAGCTCAGTTTACTCCATTTTTGTTAGGCAAGAGATGTATTGGGAGCTGGGCTCAGTGGTGTATCTTATAATCCCAGTGTATTCAGTTACTGTTTTTTTAATTCACAAATTAAATATATAACCTCTTACACATGTTTAAGGCATTCATAACTTTTTTTCCACATACAGTGGCTCAAACCCAAGGCCCTATACATACTAAGGATAAATTGTGCTACTGAATAACACCTCCAACCCCACTAACTCTAGGTAATATATTACCTGTGTCCCATAATGATTAATTTTAAAATGGGCAAAATGTTTAGATGTTTAGGTTTTTCAGTGTATACTTGCTCAGAAGCTGAGACAGGAGGATTGCAAGTTCCAAGCTGGCTGGATAACTTAGTGAGACTCTGTCTCAGAATAAGGAGGACTGAGGATGTAGCTAGTGATAGGGCACTTTAGCATATATAAGGCCCTGGGTTCAATCTCTAGTATGGCAGGAGATATATATGCATATGTATATTGTATATGTGTGTATATACACACATATATAATATACATATGCATATATATAGAAACAGTAAATTTGTGTATCTTTACAATATTTGCCTTTGTTTTGTTGTAATGATAAAGTAGTTTCAAATCAGTATGCTATGGTGAGTATGGTTTCCATTTCCTTAAAGGTTCATGTGTTACAGATTTGCTCCCAGACTGGTGGTATTCAGAGGTGATGAGGACTTTAAGAGAGGGCGTCTGTGGGAGGTCTGGGCCATTGGGGGGTGCCCTCAGAAGGAGTCCGGGGACCCTAATCTCTCTGACTTCATGTTTGGCTATGTAAATCTTCCATGCTATCATGTTTTTTTGTTTTTTTCCCCTGATACTGGGGATCAAACTCAGGACCTTGTGCTTGCCAGGCAGACTCAGAGCTGCTGAGCTACATCCCAGGCCCTTCCATGCTGTGATGTGAGGCAACCAAGAAAAAGTACTCAGGCAAGAATGTACCAGCCCTCACCAAAACTGAGCGGATGACATGCCCATAAACCTTCAAAACTGAGCTGAAAAACCTCTGTTCTTCATAAGTAGCCTGTTTGGTAATAGATATTGTGTTATAATGCTGAAAAGCTTATATATATATATAAATTTCAAAGCCTTTAAAGTGAACATTGGCTTATAACTGTTAAGTGACGAGGTATTCTGCTGCTGAACTCAACCCAATTCTTTTGCCTAGTTAAATTCAGTACAGTCTATGGGTTTATGCTTTCTGTCTATGGTTGTCTTAGTAACTTCTCATTGCTGAGACAAAATACCTGATACCCGAAGCTGAAGGAGGAAAGGTTTAATTGGCTCACAATTTGTAGAAGTTCCAGTTCATACTTGACTGACCCTGAGGCAGGCAGCATGGCAGAGGGGCATCACAGAAGAGAAACAGTTCATGGCAGGCAGAAGGCAGCAAAAGCACTGAAGTAGAAAGCAGCAAGCAACAAGCAACCCCTTTCCATCCCTATATCTTATCCAGCTTACCTGCCCTTAAAGCAGATAGCACTCGCCGTTAGGGTTAGGCACCCTTAATCCTACCCAGAAATATGCCAAACAAATCAGTGGACTAATTGATCGCAGCATCACACACTCCACATCCAGCCATTTCTGAACAGCCTCACCTGTGACAGCAGGAGGCTTTGGGTGGACATCTAGACACAAACCATAACAATGGTTCTTGTTCTCTGGGTCAGGCTATAATGAGGGAAGAGAATGTAGATGTACATACATCTTGTTTTTGTTTTTGAGACAAGGTCTTGCTCTATAGTTCAGTTTGCCCTTGAACTCAGTACGTAACCCAAGCTGGCCTTGAATTTGTGGTGATCCCCCTGTCTCAGCCTCTTGAATGCTATTGTTACAGGTGTGCACCACCATGTCCAGCTGAAGATGTTCTTGAAACTACTCCTTGGAAGCCAGTCTGGGGCCAGAGGTCCATATGGAAGTTCTGGAGTAGAACAGTGTGTGTTAGTTTGGGAATGTCCAGAGGGACTTTTAAGATTTCTACATTGGGTTAGAGCTGCAAGTCCCTTCCTCCCTAGCTAGGATAAGGATCAGCAAACTGGGACCTGGCAACAATTAGCCTGCTACATCCACTTGTTAAGGAAAATCTTACTGGAACTCCACAGTACCTGTTGGTTTACGAATCGCCTCTGGCTACTTTTACAGAGTTAAATAGTTGTGACAAACTGTCTACCTTCTATTTACAGAAAAACTTGGATCTTTATAGAAATGTTTGCCCTAGAAGATCCTTGCATTGGTCTGGTCTTCCAGGGTTAGGGCTGATTTCCCCAGGCAGTTTTGAGCAAGACAGGCCCCTGAGGCTACCACTGGCTGAACTCCCACTTCCTCATTGCCCACAAAAGATCCAACTGGGCAAGCAGCTTGTTTTCTCAGCTCTCTCCTGTATTAAGTATTAAGGATAGAGAGTCTTTGTCTATTTATCTGCATATTGCTGTCTAATAAGATGTGGTAGTTCTGCTTTGTACTTTAGGAAGCCTTAAAATCAGCTGGAGAGCTTGTTAAAACAGATTGCTGGATTCTGATTCAGTAGGTCTCTTTGTTTTGTTTTTGTTTTTCTGGTACTGGGATTGAATTCAGGACTTGCACTTGCCAGGCAGGAGGTCAGTTTTGAGGTACAGGAATTTTTTTTTTTTTTTTTGCAGAACCAGGAATTGAACCCAGGGCCTTGCACATGGTAGACAAAGACTTTGTCACTGAGCTGTATCCCCAGCACCTTTTATTTTGAGATAAGATCTAAGTTGCTCAACCTGGCTTTGAACTTGTGATTCTCCTGCCTCAGCCTCCCCGGTAGCTGGAATTACAGGCATGTGCTACCATGCCCAGCGAGGAATTTGCATTTTGAGCAAACTTCAAGATAATTGGGTTGTTGCCAGTTCTAGATTGTATTTACAGAAACATTTTAGAAATTTTAAGGGAAAGAGAGATACCTTCCTGACAACTTTTTTCAATTTTATTTATTTATATTTAAAAATTTATTGGTACCTTTTTGATATATAATGATAACATTCATCATATGTAATTCATACCTGTACATCATGATATATCTTGCTTCTGTTTTCCCATTCCCCTTCTGCCTTCAGCCCCTCTTCTCTTCCTTATCCTGACAACTTTAAGTTCCCTCACCCTAAAGCAAAATTTAGTTCATATCCTTTCTCCTGTGACTAAGAGTCCCTTTCAAACCCAGAGCATCCTTAGATGTTTAGAAAGCACGTAGAGGATAAGGAATAAATTGAATAATAATTGAATTCAGTGTGGAAGTTTTCTTTCTTTCTTTCTTTCTTTCTTTCTTTTTTTTTTTTTTGAGTACCAGAAATCTAATTCAGAACCTTATGCTTGCAAGACAGGTACAGCACCACTGAGCTAAATCCCCAGCCCAGGAACGGCAACATATTAACAAAGATAGAAGTTGTACACTTGTCTAAACTGAATTAACATTATTTCTTTGAAATCAAGTATATGGTAAGATAACTTTTATCTCAGCAGTTGCTGTTTTTTTTATTTTTTTGGTACCGGGGATCAAACTCGGGTCTTTGTGCTTGCAAGGCAGGCGATGAAACCACTGAGCTAAATCCCCGGCCCTGCAGTTACTGTTTTATAAGTTTAACACTTTTCATACATTGAGGGCACTGCTCTACTCACACAGACTTTTTAAGAATGCGTATGCTGATTTGTAAAGAGTATATCTTCCCTGTTTGATACTTATCCACCAAATAGGATGTACCAAATTGATTTATGTGACTGTGTGTCCCCTACATTAACAGTGGTAATGTAGTTCTCAAATGTCTGGAAACATGAACCATGGATTAACAAAAGTATAATCTCAGAAATTTGAGAGTCCCAGATACTAATTTGTTAAAGTGTTAACATTAGGAAAAAGCTATAATTATCATCGGCTGTATTTCCTAAAACTTCAGTTGAGGTAATCTCTAAGTCTCAGCTCCATACTTATTTCTGGCAGGGCTATGGTGAATAGAATCTGAAGCTGTATCACCGGAACCTTTAATTTTGTAATCGGCGCCGGGGATTTAGCTCAGTGGTACCGCGCCCGCCTCACAAGCACAAGATCGCGAGTTGATCCCTGGTACCAAAAGAAAAAAAAATAAGGCTATTCAGAATTGTGTATTGAGGTTATTGATGAAAACATTGAACACCTGAAGATTTGGGTGACACTTTTAAAGTTATTGGGTCCCGCTTAGAGGAAAGTCACTGGGCGGGACCTGGAAGGGTGTATCTCCCTGCCAGGCTCCTCTCTTCTTTCTGCTTGCTGCGCTGAACAGATTTGCTGTGCTGTGTCCCTCAGCCGCACCATCCTACCGCAGGGCTGTCCATCCCGGGATGGATAAAATGAGCTGAAATAAACCTCTCCTCTTTAAATTGTAGGTTTCTGGCACTTTGTCTCGGCGATGAGGAACAGAGACACTATATAACACAAAAGTTTTACAGGTCTTGGTGTTAAATTAAGCATATTTTCATTTTTTCTTAATTGTGACCATCAATTGCTGAATTGCATTTTTTCATTTATGAATCTATTTGCTCTACTTTTTTCTGTATTTAACAATTAAAATGTTCTAAAGAACATTTTACTGTGAAGGACATTTATTAAAATTCTCCCTGAGCTTGGCAGCCCTGTGGCACTGTTCCTGTGGCTCCCATTCATGGTTATGTGTTGAGAGGACAGGAGACCTGCACTGTGCTGGCGGAGGTGAGGAGGGGAAAAGTGCTCCATGCAGAGTGGAAGGGATTTTGGCCACGCGCTGTTGTGTGGGACCCTTGTCAGGGAAGAGTATATTCAGAAAGGGGCAGGCTTC